CAAGCCATCTAAATATAGTGGTCTTCTAAACATAGAAGATCTCCCACAAGTCTTCCTAGAAGTTTTCTAGACATAGGTATCCTATACCTCCTACAGATCCGGGAGTCACCAATCGTACATCCAACCTAGTATGCACACCTATGCCCTGACCGAGAATGATAATATCAGCCATACCGTAAAACATCCTTCCAACCCATCAGCCCACCAGTCAATCCGCCATCCCGCCATCCCGCCACCCGGCCGGCCAGCCAACCAGTCAGTCATTCAGCCAAACCAGCAGAAGTAGTGGCAATGCCATTGTGGCAGTGGCATCATATCATTAACATGATTATTATCATTGCCTGTGGCGTAGATAGTGGCATTGGTGGCAGATGCATCATAAAGTTTCATGAACATGCAACACCGCTATGCCACCAACGGCGGCAGCAACAAACAGCTGCAACCATTCGAAATTGTTAAAATTACCCAGGCACGGTACGGGGCAAATAGCTGGCTGGCAGCATGGACTGGCTGGCTGACTGACGGCACCAAGCGTTGTCTCTGTGTGAAAATGGTTGTTTTTTTACGATTTTTGTGTGAATTTAATTCCTGTTTAATTTAATAATAAACAAATAAAATAAAATAACAGACAGACACACACACATACAGTCATATACTCATTTACACACACCACATTATGTTAAGCCGTTCCTTTGTTGGCCGTGTGAAACACACAGACACAAAAGTGTATTCGCCAGTGTGTGTGTGTGTATCTCTCGCTGTGGGTGTGTGCGTTTAAACAACACTAATTATTTGTGCAATTTTTGTTATTAATTAACTAATTAATGTAAATATGATATTAATCCACCAACCGACATAAACTCGTTTTCACTTAACAAAAGATGTGGGACAATGGAAATTCTGAAAAAAATTGAAAATAATAAAAAAATAAATATTCACACATACATACGAGCAATTGAATTTAATAATAAAAGTAAAACTCTTCATTTTTTGTTGTTAAAATTGGAAATTGAAACAAAAAGTTGAGAGGTTTAAATTTAATCGAAACATTTTGGGGGAGTGGCGGTGGAGAGGCCACTAGATTTTTTAATTATTTTTGTTAAATAAATTTTCGACCTATTTAAGATAATGAAACCAGTAAAGAAAGTCTTAAAGTCGGGCGGGGCCGACTTTATGATACCCTACACCACTTTGCTTAGATAGTAGAGCTCCACATAACAATTGAAAGTTTTTATGGGAGAATTTAACCATACACGCCATGATTATAATTATAATTTAAAGTTCAAAAGACTAAATATGCCGAAGCACTGGTATCTTTTAAATTCGGACTTGTATTGCCATTTGGTGCAAAATTAATTTGAAATCGGATAAAAATATATATGGGAGCTATATCCAAATCGGAACCGATCTCGATAAAATTTGGCAAATATATTTCTGAGCTGCATTTGATATATTTCCCCAAATATTGTTGTTACAGAGTGAATATTACGGCTGCGGAGGACAAAAATAACAAATCGGATGAACAATATACATGGGAGCTATAGCTATATCTGAACGGATTTCGATCAAATTTGGCATACTCATTTTCAGGCCTAATTTGGTTGAATGTGCAAAACTCCATACTATTCGGGCTGATATTACACGTTTGGTGCACAATAAAAGGCAAATCGGACGAAGATATATATGGGAGCTATATCTAAATTTTGACCGATTATCTTCAATTTCAATAGGGTTCGTCCTTGGGCCAAACAAATGATTTGAGCAAAATTTAATCTGGATAGGGCAATAAATGATAACTGTACTTTGTTTACAAAATTACATGGACGGACAGACAGACGGACGGACGGACACGCTTAAGTCGACTCAGAATGTGATTCTATGTTGATCATCAAAAGGAACTACGGGTCTATTTCATTTCCTGTTGCCTGTTACAAACAAATGCACAAAGACATAATACCCTGACCACCTTGTGGTGTAGGGTATATATATATATATATATATATATATATATATATATATATATATATATATATATATATATATATATATATATATATATATATATATATATATATATATATATATATATATATATATATATATATATATATATATATATATATATATATATATATATATATATATATATATATATATATATATATATATATAGTCCACGGAAGCATTCCATTTTCATACTTCATCTAATACAGATAAAAATATTGGTAGGGCAAAATTAGAGAATATCGAACATTTTTATTCAGTTTTGTGCGAAATCATAAATTCCATATTCATCCCAGGTTTCGGGTTGAGAGAATTATTTAGTTCTAAAGCATCGCTGACATATTTTCGCAAGTAATGACAGACAAAAGTATTGAAAATTGTGACCCGTAGAGGGTGAGGTACCACAAAGGGCTCACAGAATTATATCATCTTCATAAGAGACTTTGTGTTACCAAAATGTTTGTATGTGGGAAATCGGAGGAGAGTTAGTTGCTCTTATTTCGCTTTCTTTGAACGCTTTGTTTTTCAAAATCTTGAACCCTATATGGGGGAGGTACCAGAAGAAATGGTCCGATCTCTACCATCTTTATAACAGATCTTGTGTTGTTGGAAGTATTGAAGTATACAGAATCTAAATGAATCAGATCATGATTTCGCGTTTTATGAGCTTCATGGATATTCAAAATGTTGACCATTTGTGGGGGAGGTACCAGCAGTAGTAAACCTATATATTCAATCTTCACAGCAAATCTTCTGTTAGTGTAAAGAATGGAATGTGTGAAATGTGAAGAGAAACGGATACCTTTATCGGATTTTATAATAATTTTGGTTATTCAAAACTTTGACCCTTTGCATGAGAGGTACCAGAAGGAATCGTCCGATATCCACCGTTTTTATAACAGATCTTCTGTTGGTAGAAATATTAAAATGTACTAAGTCTGAATGGAATCCGATGTTAATTTCCCGTTTTATGAACTTCGTGGAAATTCAAAATATTGACCCTTGTGGGGGAGGTACCAGAAAAAGTGGACCGTTATATCCCATTTTTACATCAGATCTAGTATTAGTAGAAAGAAGGGGATCTGTAAAATATGAAGAGAACCGAATGTTTATTTTGGATTTTATAATTGTTTTGGTTATTCAAAACTTTCACCCTTCGTGGGGGAGGTACCAGAGGAAATAGTCCGATCTCTACCATCTTTATAACAGATCTTGTGTTGATAGAAATATGGAGTGGTACCAAGGCTGAATGAGGTGGGTTGTTAATTTCGCGTTTTGTGAGCTTAATGGGTATTCAAAAATTGACCCTTTGTGGGGGAAGTATCAGAAGTAATGGGCTTATATATTCCCTCTTCAGAACAGATCTTGGCTTAATAAATATGTGTGATGTGTGAAAGTTGAAGACAAGCGAACTCTTACATCACATTTAATAACAGTTAAAAATATTCAAAAGTTTGATCCTTTGTGGAAGTGGGACTCTATGGAGTGAATCGATATTGTCCTTCTTCGTACCTGGCCTAGCACTAATACAAATATTAGGATTTGCAAAGTTGGAGCAAAATTGGATTTTCCTTTCTCTTTCTGTGCAGAAAAATTTTTTCTTTGAAAATGTGGACATTTTGTGGGGGAGGTACCAGAAGGAGAGTAGAGATATTGCCCATCTCCGAACTCGATCTTAATTTGATAATACTACTACGATGTACTAAGATTGGACCAAATCGGATACTTCCTTAAGATTTAACGTGCGCATCAGTCAGCAGACAGACAGGCAGAGGGACGGCCGGACAGGCATCGCTAGATTGATTCCAAAGTACTGAAACGGATTTGATCCAAAGAGACATAGGGTCTAAAACCGTTTTTTTTTTTTTTTTTTTTTTTTGATGTGGTAAATGATATACTTACCCTCTCTAGCCATATGGCTGAGGGTATAATAATATATGCAAGTAAAAAAGCTGTAAGTTCGGTCGGGCCAAACTTTGAATACCCTCCACCATTTGGAACGAATTTGGCAAATTAAAAAAAAATAATATCCGTTAAAAATTCTGTTGAAATTTTTTTAGCCGTTTATACGACGACGTGGACGTTTATACAATTTTTTGCCATAGGTTGTCGTACCCATTAAGATCTTCCAATGTCAAATTTGAAACAATTCCGGTGAATAATGTCGCTAAAATCGTCAAAATACCGAATTTCGAGAGGTACCAGTATATGAGGACTATACGAACGCGTGGGCCTGCACAGACAATTTTCTGTCATAGGCTGTAATATCCATTACGAACTTCAAATACCAAATTTGAAACAATTCCGGAGAATAATGTTACTAAAATAACGAAAATAGGGAGGTACTATTATATGGGGGCTATATCAAAACGTGGACCTACATGGCCCATTTTAAATACCAAAAATCCAACAGACATAATATGCACTTGAGTAAAATTTTATTAACCTACTTCATTCCTTCGGAAGCTAGAGTTATTTCCACAGACGGACAAACGGATAGTCAGATAGACGGACCGTACTATGGTGGAGGGTATAAAAACACTGAAGACCTAAAAATATAGAATTAATATATTGACGATTTCAATAGTATGAAAAATTTTCGGAAAACTCGTCCTGCTGACATAGAAGTCCCCTTGGGAGTCGTTACGTAAAAATAATATGTGGTTTCTCTTGCAATTTGTATCGAACGCCCCAAGAGGCTATAAAACCATGAAATATTGTCCTCTATTTAAAGATGAATTGTTGGAAATCTTAACGCAGTGAAGCATCTGTTGATGGACTCCTTCCATATAAAATATCCTTGTATCTTCAAAACATAGAAGACTTTTTCAACACCTATTTACCAGAATTGCTTATTTCTGAAAATTGTTTTTTGTTTTCATATTTCAATTTGTATCCCCTCTTCTCTAAATTCATTTCCAACAACTCCCCACACACACACACCCAAACAAACACTAAACACTTGTACTAATTAATATCTTTTATGATTATTTCAGATTATCACAATTTGGTTTTTGGTGGGCGAGCAGCATCAACATATTTCCGAAAACCCAAAAATAAAATTAAAACAGCACCCAAAATAAATACCACGAAGAGGATTTACGCCAACATTAACAGCAACAAATAAAAATTATAACAACAACAGTTCTGTGTCGACAAGGAGAACGACGGAAAACGCAACACGCCACACCAGCACCACAACGCTACCCACAAATATTCAAACATGATTAATGATATGACCACACTACAAACAGACCTTAAATTCGACACTCACATAAAAAAGGATTATGCGACAAATATGAAATTTTTCAACAACAACAATAATAACAACAACAACAGCATCAACAGCGAAAATTTATCCATGAAGCAGTTGGCCGCCGCAGCACCGCTACAATTTCCCAATGTTGAAATTACCAATAACATTATGGACATTATGGAGGGTAAGTAAGAATGCAAAGGGGGTGTGATAAGGAAGAGGGGGTATATAATTCGAATAAAGGGCAATGAAACTTTTCATTTAAGTAAAGATTAATTTTAATTAAGGTCATAATTAATATAATTTTTGAGGATTGTTTGAATTATTTTTTATCTATTTCTATTGTCCATAGAAGAGCTGGAGCTCTTCTACGCGTCATAGAAAGACTGAAGGTTCTCTATGCGCCATCGAAGAGCCGGAGGACTTCTATTGTCCATAGAGGAGCCGGAGGTCTTCCACTGTCCGTGGAAGGCTTGGATGAACTGGAGGTCTTCTATTGTCCATAGAAAAGCTTGAGGTCTTCTATGCGCCATAGAAGAACTGGAGGTCTTCTATGCGCCATAGAAGAGCTGGAGGTCTTCTATGCGCCATAGAAGAGCTGGAGGTCTTCTATGCGCCATAGAAGAGCTGGAGGTCTTCTATTGTCCATAGAAGAGCTGGAGGTCTTTTATGCGCCATAGAAGAGCTGGAGGTCTTCTATGCGCCATAGAAGAGCTGGAGGTCTTTTATGCGACATAGAAGAGCTGGTGGTCTTCTATGCGCCAAAGAAGAGCTGGTGGTCTTCTATGCGCCATAGAAGAGCTGGTGGTCTTCTATGCGCCATAGAAGAGCTGGTGGTCTTCTATGCGCCATAGAAGAGCTGGTGGTCTTCTATGCGCCATAGAAGAGCTGGTGGTCTTCTATGCGCCATAGAAGAGCTGGAGGTCGTCTATGCGCCATAGAGGAGCTGGAGGTCTTCCATGCGCCCTAGAAGAGCTGGAGGTCTTCCATGCGCCCTAGAAGAGCTGGAGGTCTTCCATGCGCCCTAGAAGAGCTGGAGGTCTTCTATACGGCATAGAAGAGCTGGAGGTCTTCCATGCGCCCTAGAAGAGCTGGAGGTCTTCCATGCGCCCTAGAAGAGCTGGAGGTCTTCCATGCGCCCTTGAAGAGCTGGAGGTCTTCCATGCGCCATAGAAGAGCTGGAGGTCTTCTATGCGCCATAGAAGAGCTGGAGGTCTTCTATGCGCCACAGAAGAGCTGGAGGTCTTCTATGCGCCATAGAAGAGCTGGAGGTCTTCTATGCGCCATAGAAGAGCTGGAGGTCTTCCATACGCCCTAGAAGAGCTGGAGGTCTTCCATACGCCCTAGAAGAGCTGGAGGTCTTTCATGCGCCCTAGAAGAGCTGGAGGTCTTCCATGCGCCCTAGAAGAGCTGGAGGTCTTCCATGCGCCCTAGAAGAGCTGGAGGTCTTCCATGCGCCCTAGAAGAGCTGGAGGTCTTCCATGCGCCCTAGAAGAGCTGGAGGTCTTCCATGCGCCCTAGAAGAGCTGGAGGTCTTCCATGCGCCCTAGAAGAGCTGGAGGTCTTCCATGCGCCCTAGAAGAGCTGGAGGTCTTTCATGCGCCCTAGAAGAGCTGGAGGTCTTCCATGCGCCCTAGAAGAGCTGGAGGTCTTCTATGCACCATAGAAGAGCTGGAGGTCTTCTATGCACCATAGAAGAGCTGGAGGTCTTCTATTCACCATAGAAGAGCTGGAGCTCTTCTATGCACCATAGAAGAGCTGGAGGTCTTCTATGCACCATAGAAGAGCTGGAGCTCTTCTATGCACCATAGAAGAGCTGGAGGTCTTCTATTGTCCATAGAAGAGCTGGAGGTCTTCTATTGTCCATAGAAGAGCTGGAGGTCTTCTATTGTCCATAGAAGAGCTGGAGGTCTTCTATGCACCATAGAAGAGCTGGAGGTCTTCTATGCACCATAGAAGAGCTGGAGGTCTTCTATGCACCATAGAAGAGCTGGAGGTCTTCTATGCACCATAGAAGAGCTGGAGGTCTTCTACTGTCCATAGAAGAGATGGAGGTCTTCTACTGTCCATAGAAGAGCTGGAGGCCTTCCATTCGGCATAGAAGACCTGGTGGACTCCAATTGTCTATAGAAGACCTGAAGGTCTTCTATTGTTTATAGAAGTCCTGGAGGTCTTCTATTGTCTATAGAAGACCTGGAGGTCTTCAATTGTCTATAGAAGACCTGGAGGTCTTCAATTGTCTATAGCAGACCTGGATGTCTTCTATTGTCTATAGAAGACCTGGAGGTCTTCAATTGTCTATAAAAGACCTGGAGGTCTTCAATTGTCTATAGAAGGCCTGGAGGTCTTCAATTGTCTATAGAAGACCTGGAGGTCTTCAATTGTCTATAGAAGACCTGGAGGTCTTCAATTGTCTATAGAAGACCTGGAGGTCTTCAATTGTCTATAGAAGATCTGGAGGTCTTCAATTGTCTATAGAAGACCTGGAGGTCTTCAATTGTCTATAGAAGACCTGGAGGTCTTCAATTGTCTATAGAAGACCTGGAGGTCTTCAATTGTCTATAGAAGACCTAGAGGTCTTCAATTGTTTATAGAAGACCTGGAGGTCTTCTATAGACAATAGAAGACCTCCAGGTCTATGGCGCATAGAAGACCTCCAGGTCTTCTATAGACGGTAGAAGACCTCCAGCTCTTCTATGGCGCATGGAAGACCTCCAGGTCTTCTATAGACGGTTGAAGACCTCCAGCTCTTCTATGGCGCATAGAAGACCTCCAGCTCTTCTATGGCGCATAAAAGACCTCCAGGTCTTCTATAGACAATAGAAGACCTCCAATTCGTCTATATACAATAGAAGGTCTTCCAGGTCTTCTATAGACAATAAAAGACCTCCAGGTCTTCTATAGATAATAGAAGACCTCCAGGTCTATCGCCTATAGAAGACCTGGAGGTCTTCTATGCGCCATAGAAGACCTGGAGGTTCTCTATGCGCCATAGAAGACCTGGAGGTCTTCTATGCGCCATAGAAGACCTGGAGGTCTTCTATGCGCCATAGAAGACCTGGAGGTCTTCTATCGCCTAGAACACCTGAAGAGATCTTCTATGCGCCATAAAACAGCTGAAGAGATCTTCTATGCGCCATAAAACAGCTGAAGAGGTCTTCTATATTCCATAGAACAGCTGGAGAGGTCTTCTGTATCCCACAGAAGAGCTGGAGATGGCATTTTTCATATTTTTTTATCATTTTAAGTCTCCGATAAAATAACAGACTATGTTCATGATTTTTGATAAGGTGATTCCGTATCTAGAGAGACATTAAATATTGAGACCTTACAACCAGATTGCTGCTTTCACTATTTCCTATTTTTTCAAACACCGATAATCAGCAAATTACGGAATGAACTTTGTGAAAGCGAAAACAGAACACCCCAACCTTCACCCTTACAACAAATTTACCCCCTTCCGCAGCACTTCGACAAAAGGTACGTTCTAAAAAAAACTCACTTGAAATGCTCGCAAAACGTTCTGTTGACTTATGTTAATTGCAAATTGCTGCTTGAATTGCAGAAAAATGCAACTCAACGAGCGGAGAAAAGCAAAAAAAATAAAGCGATGGCGAAGCGAGAAAAAATGTTGGCATGAACAAACAAAAATACATTCTATGTAAATAGAAAAAAAACTCTTGGCTAACGACGCTGACGGCTAGGATGACGACGACGACGACGGTGAGCTTTTTTGCTCCAGCGTAATTATGTTAAGCAATTGGCTTATTTCATCCTTAGCTGGCGTTTTTTTTTTCTCGTTTTTGTTCTCTCGCATCTTGAAGTAACTATCAGGCGATTATTCTGATCTATTGGCCTCAAACACTTCAAATTGTTGACTTTGTACTTGGTTCGTACTTTCATACGTCCGCTCGCTCCATCGTTCGTATGTTTGTCAGCCAGCTTACGACGTTGTCAGTAACGGTGCTAAAATGAAGTGATTTAAACGCTTTTTATTTAATTAAGGTACTGACGACTGCTGCCAATTCATAATAGAACTAAAGAGGATTATAAATATTGGGTTTATTGATCGCTTAATTGAATGGGGCATTTTTGTATTTTTTTCCGATAATTAATGGAATGAGGAATGGATGTGTTTTTTTTTTAATTCAATGTTAAACAAAGTGGGTCAAAGGTCAAGGAATATTTTTTGTGAAGGTATTCTATGGGAAAATAATTTTTAAGGCCGTATACACGAGAAATGCTTTTGCAGGTCAGCTAATTAAAGAAAGCATTTTATAAGAAATGACATTCTACAGATCTTCTTCCCAGAAAATAAAGGATCTCAAGGTTTTCTATGGACAATTGAAAAACTCCAGGTCATATATGGACAATAGAAGAAGTCCAGGTCATCTAGGGGTAATAGAAGAACTACAGGTCTGCCATGGACAATAGGGGGCATGCAGGTCTTCTATAGACAATAGGAAACTTCAAGGTTTGCTTTGGACAATAGAAGACTTGTATGTCTTCTATTAGATATAAAAGACCCGTAGGTCTTCTAGTCGCTACAGAAGTCCCGAAGGTCTTGTATTCGGCATGAAAGACCCGAAGGTCTTTTATTCGGCATGGAAGACCCGAAGGTCTTCTATTCTCTCTAGAGACACGTAGGTCTTCTATTCGCTATAGAAATACTATTTAGTACAATTGTAGAACACTTTTTCAAAACTACATCCATGCCTCAATTCCAGATACAAAAGGTGACATCTATATAAAATTTCAGTATTTTAGGTCCATTATTTTACCCAATACCAAATATAGTACATTTTAGTTCTTTTCGTACTATTAAATTACACATTTTCAAATCCAGTACTTTAGTTACAAATATAGGGAGCATTTCCAAACCACCATCAATTCTCAAACACAAATACCATCAGTAATCTAAATATCAAGTCAGAATTTTATCTTCAAGCCTTCACCCAATACCGAGTACAGTATAATTATTGTACATATTTCCCAGAAAACCTTCATATGTCTAGGCTACACATGAACCTCGAGCCCAATATCAAATTTCAGATTTGAAAAACTATCGGTTCACAAAATACCAAATTGTTCCAATTATAGTACTATTTAGTACTTTTCATGCACTTATAGTACACCTTTCCAAAACCACCTCATTATCACAAACCTACCACCAACAGGGACTCC